TAAGTTTCACTAGAATCACCTAGCCAGTGATGAATCCCGGATCTGCAAGCCATTCCTAGCACGCGTCTTGGCATGCAAGGCGCCAGCTGAAGAAGAGAACCAAGCTGTGGATGAAGGCTGGCAGCAACTTGTTGATGATGTGACGTTTTGGCGCGCAAGTGAAAAAACTGCTGCTGCTTTAGCAGGTACATTTGCACATGCTCATTCCTGGGCCCTCCCCTATCCTCAACGTAGGCTTCTTTTTGCGCATCATTGGACTTGCGAGCAGGCTTAATGCGACAAAGCCCTGTGCGTTCCAACTCACCCCAACCCTCTTGGAAACAAGCAGGTTTTGGAAAAGAAGGGTCGGGTTCCCTGCAACTATTCCACCGAACAGAGGGACACTCGCATTTGACTTGGCGGGGCGTTTGCGCAGCCGAGCCCTCTTGAAACCTCAGGTTCTCAGGGAGAAGGAGAGAACCTTGCAGGGCAGCCTGTTGTCGCGGCCAAGGTTGAGATACTTCTTGTAGGTTTGTCAATATTTCAAGTTGCACTGGCATTTTATTTGGGGAGATTATGGTCGCCCGGCAGACAACAGTTTTTGGGATGAAGTTTTCGCAGGGGCAGGGAATGATTTCAAGGGGTCTGCTGCAATATCAGTGCGATCAACATCGAGGAAGCTGAGCAGTATTGTCAAAACGGCGCCGTCCAAACGAAAGGTCAAAGCGAAGGAGTTCCTGGTTTCGATGCCTTCAAACATTCAATCAAGCCAATCCAAGGCTGCAGAAGCTCGCTGGACCAGCAAAGAACCTGTGCGCCTCGCTGGCTGGTTTTGGTCCGGAGGGTAGCTCCTTTGCAGCATTTGTCAAATGGGAGTTGATCTAAACCGACGGAACTAGGCTTAGTCTACAGGAGATCTCGTGGAGTTACAACGTGTTGCCACACTGTGAGTGTGTGGCCCCGCGTGGCTCCAAATAGTATTTTTTGGGCTCGTGCAAACAGAGCAAGTCCAAAGCATTTTGGGCACGCTGGGCTTGGAACGCAGTGCCTCTTCGCTGTGCTGAGAAGGTCTCTTTTGAGCGGTGGCCCCAAGCTCGTTTTCCACCTCATGAAAATAATTTTTGAGGGCTTACCAGAATAGCCTGTCAAGCAACGGCCCCAAGCTCGTTTTCCAGCAAATGAAGACAACTTTGGGGGCTCACCATCACCAGACTATCCAGCTGGTGAACATAGCTATGGGGGCTTACCAGAATAGCCTTTTGAGCGGCGCTTTCCAGCCGAAGAAATTCTCTTTGGGGGCTCACCAGAAGAACCTTTTGAGCGGTCTCGTTGTCCAGCTGGCGAAACTAGGCTCGTTTTCCGGCCCATGAAAATAACTTTAAAGGCTTACCAGAATAGCCTTTTGGGGGCGCCCCCCAAACTCGCCAGTTAAAGAAAATATGTAGGTTTTGGGGCTTTGCTCCCGCTCTCATTTCCAGCCGACAAAAAGAACGAATGGCCTTCTGAGCGTCTGCCCCAAACTCGTTTTCCAGCTGATGAAAACAACTTCGGTGAATTCTCACGGGATCTCGCCAGAATAGCCTTCTGCGCGGCTGCCCCAAATTCGTTTTCCAGCCGATGAAAATAACTTTGTAAAATTCTCACCGGAGCTCACCAGAATAGCCTTTTGAGCGGCTGCCCCAAACTCGTTTTCCAGCCGATGAAAATAACTTCGGAGAATTCTCACCGGAGCTCACCAGAATTGCCTTCTGAGCGGCTGCCCCAAACTCGTCTTCCAGCCGGTGAAAATGACTTTGGGGAGTTCTCACGGGAGCTTGCCAGAATAGCCTTCTGCGTGGCTGCCCCCAGCCGATGGAATTCTCACCAAACCTCACCACAATAGCCTTTTGAGCGGCTGCCCGAAACTCATTTTCCAGCCGATGAAAATAACTTTAGGGAATTCTCATATAATAGAGACAGCGGGCGCCGCGCATCCTTTCTTTCGGGTCACCGCGTGAGGGATGCCCCAAAGGCTGTGAATTGAGTTGGGCGGCATGCCCTAAAAGCTGCCCCAGCAAGCAATCAAATAGGCCGAGGGCTCAGAGAAGCAGTAGCCGCGAAAGCAGGCGTAAGGGTGAGCGAAAGGGGTCCTGTTGATACTAGCAGTGGCAACAGAGTAAAGATTAATCCCCAAATGTGTAGCTTCTAAAAAAGCAATGGTAGGCTGGTGACCGGTGCCGAATGCATGAGCGTGTTGCTTTTGCGTTGGCTTGAGATCTGGTTCGCACAGCCGTTGCACCGCTTCATGCAGGCTGTCTGCCGTTGGGCGAATGACACTGATAAACTAGCTGCAGGACGCTTTACTGGAGTTTGGTGCAAACTATGGAGTGTAAGCTATTTGGCAGATTTCCCTACAGCAAGTAACCAGGGCCCCGTGCATGCAGCCCTGCAGATCTGGTTGCAGGCATCACGGCATTTGCTCCTTTGCCAAGCGGCCCAGTGCAGCTGCCCATCGACTGCTTGGATAAGCAGCCTTTTGAAGGCGCGCGTGCCAGAGCACATGATGACCCAAAGCGTCCAAGATTGAACAAAAACCAAGGGCGACGTCAAAATTCAATCGCTCTTGAAAGTTGCTCAAGAACAAGGCTACAAAACGCAAACTTCAAATGCGGCCAAAATTTCGTTTTCGTGAATTCAAGGAGCGGCGCCTTAACTTTTAAAAACCAATCGCGCCAGAAGTATGCTGCGCTCCAAATTGCATCGCGGGCTTTGTAAATTCAACCGCATTTCTTTTCAAACTCAATCGCGAAAATATGTCCGTCTGCGGCAGACATTTGGGTCCTATTCGTCGTAACACAACACTACTAATTGTATGTGTATGTGGCTGTTTTTTTTGCGCGCTCTTTCTGGCTCAAGTTTGTTCGTCCAGCTCGTCGCTGGCCATACGAGAGCGCACGCTGACCTGAGAGCACGAGGTGCTGAGCGACCCGGAATTCTCTAGCACTTTAACACCAATCAGTCGGCCAGGGTGCCATGTGAGCAGGAACCGGCAGCTGACACACAAGAGACATGAACGTCTGTCCAGGGTACGTCCACATAGTTGGGGCTCAAGTGTTTGGACTGCTCGTCCACGACACCCAGATCTCAGCCGACGGTACTGGTCTAGGCACTCCGAAAGCGCATTGACAAAGTTTTCATGGATCACCAAATCTCGGCAGCTTGCGGCCTCGTAGAGGCTACTAGGGTCCGTGCTGGTCAGGCCCCAGGGTCAAATTTGCTTGAGGAAACGCATGTTTCAAGATCTCCTTGCACAGCGCCAGCGTGTGAAAGAAGCAATCTGGCCCAACACGTGTTTTTAAGATGCTTAGCAAGATGCTTGTGGTGCTAGGCTTGCTTCTTGCTAGAAGCCACGCCAAACCACACAAGTCCGCTCATTGTTTGCAATTCTGTTCTGCCAAACGCTCTGCATCGAGGGGGCGGGTCAAGTGGAAGACCCCATGGCTGAATCCATATTCGTTTGTATAATAGCTTCAACCGTTAGCCGTTGTTTGCATGGGGCAACGCCCTCTCCATTTAGGAAACCCTGGCCTGTTGTCACTAGACCACATGTCACGGCACGCATGTGCTCACGCGCTTCTCCATTCACGGGGCAAGGCCCCCTAAACACATTCAACAATTCCAATATTTGCAATAATTGCAATTTTTTCAGGTCCCGGATTTTGCAATAATTGCAATATTTTCAGGTCCCGGATTTTGCAATTATTGCAATTATTGGAATTATTGGAATTGACTTCCAATAATTGCAATTATTTGCATTATTCGGAGGTCCTGGATTTTGCAATTATTGCAATTATTTGAATTGACTTCCAATTATTGCAATAATTGCAATATATTTACGTTCCGGATTTTGCATTTATTGCAATTATTGGAACTGAATTCCAATAGTTGCAATAATTGTAATATTTGGAGGTCCCGGATTTTGTAATTAATGCAATGATTGGAATTCCAATACATGTCCCGGGATTTGCAAGTATTGCAATTATTAGAATTATTGCAATTATTGGAATTGAATTCCAATAATTTGTATAATTGCAATATTTTCAGGTCCCGGATTTTGCAATTATTGCAAATATTGGAATTCAATTCCAATAGTTGCAATAATTGCAATATTTTCAGCTCCCGGATTTTGCAATTATTCGAATTCAATTCCAATAATTGCAAGAATTGCAATATTCGGAGGTCCCGGATTTTGGAATTCTTGCAATTATTGGAATTAGTCGGCCCGGCTTTGAGGCCAAATCTGGGATCAATTAAGTATTGCAATTATTGCAATTTTTGCAAGTATTGGAATTATTGGAATTGAATTCCAATAATTTCAATATTCCAATAATTGCAATAATTGCAATAACTTCAGGTCTCGGATTTTGCAGTTATTGAAATTAAAGGAATTCAATTCCAATACTTGCAATAATTGCAATATTTGGGGGGTCCCGGATTTTGCAATTATTGGAACTATTGGAATTGAATTCCAATAATTGCAATAATTGCAATATTCGGGGGTCCCGGATTTTGCAAGTATTGCAACTGCTGGAATTAGTCGGCTCGGCTTTGAGGCCAAATCTGGGATCAAGTTTTTTTTTGCAATAATTGCCATTATTCCAATTGTTAGAATTGAATTCCAATAGTTGCAATAATGTGGACCTATGATTAATAAATAGGGCCCCCCCCCCCTGAATCCCCCCTGAATCCCCCCTGAATCCCCGAATGACCATAAATACAGATTAGGGGAGAATTTTCAGGGTCGGGCCTTGTTTAGAGGAGTTTAGTATTGGGCTCGGTTTTTTGGTGTTCGAAAACTACTTTAGAATTGGACCAATTCAAAAGTAGTATTGGGCATGTTGTTTTTTCTTATTTTGCTTTTGGGGAATACTAGTTTAGAATGTGGCCAATTCGAAAATAGTCTTGGGCCAAGAACTTTTGGTTATTCCGGGAAGAATCTGGTTAGCATTATTCATGGTCTGGTTCTTATTTAGTGCCTCAGGGTTCATGGGGGGTACCCTTGCTGCCAGGGTCAATGTGTTGGTTTTGGTGGTTTTTTAAATGAATTTTAAAAGAAAGGGGTCCCATAAGTTTGTGGATTTGGGATACATCTAGAATCAAGTGTGGGATGCGCCAAGTGGAATGGAAAGCTTGACCATGAACAAAGCTCAGGGGATCAGATGTATTGTTTTGATGGGGGAATCTGGTTAGCATGTTATTTAGTGCCTCAGGGTTCATGGGGGGTACTCTTGCTGCCAGGGTCAATGTGTTGATTTTGAAAAGGAATTTTAAAAGAAAGGGGTTGCTGGCATGATTATGAAACCATGCAAATTCCATGGGGGATGAGGGTTGGGAGCACTGACCCTGAATAAAAATCTGCATTTTGCATGGATCCCAATGGGAATTCTAGGTTCTTTTGTGAGCTGAGGAACTCAGGATTCATTCATTCATGTGGCGATAAGGTTATTTTTTGAATTAGTTCATGTTATTTTGTATTTGTTCATATTTTTCCCATGGGAAAAACGGTTAGCATTATTCATGGTATATTTATTATTTTTTCGGGATATTGGTTAGCATTATTGATGGTATATTCACTAATCGTAGGTCAACATTAATTGCAAAATCCGGGACCTCCGAATATTGCAACTATTGCAACTATTGGAATTCAATTCCAATACTTGCAATAATTGCGAAATTTTCAGGTCCCGGATTTTGCAATTATTGCAATTATTGGAATTGAATTCCAATAATTGCAATAAGTGCAACATTTGGAGGTCCCGGATTTTACAATTATTGCAATCATTGGCATTGAATTCCAATAAATGCAATAATTGCAATATTTTCAGGTCCCGGATTTTTGAATTCCAATAATTGCAATAATTGCATTATCCGGAGGTCCCGGATTTTGCAATTATTGGAATTATTGGAATTGAAATCCAATAATTGCAATAATTGCAATATTTTCTGGTCCCGGATTTTGCAATTATTGCAGTTATTGCTATTCAATTCCAATAATTGCAATATTTGCAATATTCAGAGGTCCCGGATTTTGCAATTATTGCAATTATTGGAATTGAATTGCAATAATTCCAAAAATTGAAATATTCGGAGATCCCGGATTTTGCAATTATTGCAATTTTTTGGAATTACTCGGCCCGGCTTTGAGGCCAAATCCGGGATCAATTCATTATTGCATTTATTGCAATTATTGCAATTAATAGAATTGAATTCCAATTATAGCAATAATTGCAATATTTGGAGGGCCCGGATTTTGACTATTGGAATTGAATTCCAATAATTGCAATAATTGCAATAATTTCAGGTCCCGGATTTTGCAAGTGTTGCAATTATTGGAATTCAACTTCAATAACTGCAATATTTGCAATAATTTCAGGTCCCGGATTTTGCAATTATTGCAGTTATTGGAATTCAATTTTAATAATTGCAATATTTTCAGGTCCCGGGTTTTGCAATTATTGCAATTATTGGAATTGAATTTCAATCATTTCAATAATTGCAATAATTTCAGGTCCCGGATTTTGCAGTTATTGCAGTTATTGGAATTCAATTCCAATAATTGCAGTAATGGCAATAATTGCAATAATTGCAATAACTGCAATAATTAATTGATCCCAGATTTGGCCTCAAAGCCGGGCCGACTAATTCCAGTAATAGCGATAATTGCAAAAATCCGGGACCTCTGAATATTGCAATTATTGCAAATATTGGAGTTCAATTCTAATAATTGCAATAATTGCAAAATCCGGGACCTCCGAATATTGCAATTTTTTGGAGTTATTGGAATTGAATTCCACTAATTGCAAAAATCCGGGACCTGAAGACATTGCACTTATTGGAATTCAATTCCAATAATTGCAATAATTGTAAAATCCGGGACCTGAAATGATTGCAATTATTGGAATTTTCGGAATTGAATTCCAATAATGGCAAGAATTGCAATATTCGGAGGTCCCGGATTTTGCAATTATTGCAACTATTGGAATTCAATTTCAATCATTGCAATAATCGCAATAATTGCAATAATTCATTGATCCCAGGTTTGGCTTCAAAGCCGGGCCGACTAATTCCGAATTCCAATAATTGCAATAATTGCAAAATCCGGGACTTGAAATTATTGCAGTTGTTGTAATTCTTGGAATTGAATTCTAATAGTTGCAATAATTGCAAAATCCGGGAGCTCCGAATATTGCAATTATTGGAATTCATTTCCAATAATTGCAATAATTGCAAAATCCGGGACCTCCGAATATTGCAATCATTGCAATTATTGGAATTGACTTCCAATAATTGCAATAACTGCAAAATCCGGGACCTGAAATTATTGCAATTATTGGAATTATTGAAATTCAATTCCAATATTTGCAATAATTGCAAAATCCGGGACCTGAAAATTTTGCAGTTATTGCAATTCTTGGAATTCAATTGCAATAATTGCAATAACTAATTGATCCCAGATTTGGCCTCAAAGCCGGGCCGATTAAT